TACATAACTTATGAACTGATAATAAGTTATATTTGAAAGAAGGGATATAACCCTTTTTAGAATCATATTTGGTTGAATACTTACCCTTCCTATATGTGTAACAAACAATTGAAATGAGTTAGGCAAACTTATGTGCAAAGGTATATGCAATGGACGGACTTCTAAGAATGATTTTGAGTCAAAACACATGTGCTCAGAGGCACCTAAGTCAAGTATTCAGGTGTTAGTGTTAAAAATAGCTAGGCATGTTCCAGAGTATTTAAGAATGGTACCAGCTACTGCATTAGCATTGATCTCTGTTCCTGCATTTCCTCCATTTCCAATCTGTACTTGCTTGATTATGTTCACTAGCTCAGAGACGTGTTCCTTGCTGAAGAAATGATTTTGATTGCTTGAATTTCCTTCAGTGTATCCATTTGTTTGTCCATCAGTTTTTGTTGCAGAAACCAATGCATTGGCCTTCACTGCTCCTTGAGAAATGAGTGATTTGGTAAATTGGAAGTCATCAAGAAACTTATTGAGCCTGTAGCAGTATGCCCTGGCATGGCATGGCCTTATGCGGTGAGAACAGGTAACATTTGGGTTGTACCTAGTCTTTTTTACCTTGTATTTTTGCTGTGTGTTCCCTTGCTTCTGCTATGGATTCCAATTTATTTGGATCTGATTGTTTCTTTGGGGGGTTTTGTTCTATGTTCCCACCATAAATGATGCAACATCAGTGGGGTATGATGGATTCATGTATATTTCCTTTTGGCTCTCATCCTGCAACAGTAGAGAATAGGATTTATCAATATCAAGGAGTGGACTCATCATGAGTATGTTCTCTCTTGCTTGAGCATAAACATCATTTAATCCCATAAGGAATTGAATAACTCTTTGATCTTCCATGAACTTTGCAATTTTCTTTTTTCTATCACATGTACAATCACAAGTGCACCCCAAATGTGAGTTGAGAGAATCCAATTCATCCCGAAGTCTTTTTAGAGTTGTGAAATACCATGCTATGCTACTACTTCCTTGAGCTAACTCTGAGATCTCCTTCTGTAGATGATAGAGCTTTGCTCCACTCGATTGGCCAAACATGTGCTCAAGGCTGTTGCAGAGATCCTTTGCAGTTCTAGAATAAATTATATTGTCTCCTATCTCCTTGGTGAGTGAATTCAGCAACCAAGAGGTCACCATGTCGTTGCACTTGCTCCATTGTGAGTATTCTGTAGCATATAAAGTTGGTTCACTACAAGCTCCATTGATAAAACTAGCGTGTTCTTGACTGAAATTGCAATTAGTACAAATCTCCTCCAGCCTGGAAAACCTCTTCCGTCAAATGGTGTGCTAACTAGAGTCATCCCTGGAGCATCAGAAGAATGTCGATAATAAGGGTGATTGGAATCAAGGTTGCTCCCACTGTTGATAGATCTAGTGACAGAGAGAGTAGGTGCTACTTCTGTTCCTATCATCGCTGAAGAACAGATGTGAAGAGAAGAGTAGTGATTCAATTTTGAGAGAAAATTATGAATGGATCGAGCTACTGATGCTCTGATACCATGAAAGAAAGAATAATTTGTGAAATTTTGTCCAATTGTATTCACTATACACAACCTTATTTATACAAGTATTTTTGCATCTAAGATAAAATGAAAATAAAAAATAAAAGAAAATTCTTATACACTTGTACTATTTTTATTGCTTACATATATAACCTCCTAACATAATTTTATTCTCCTACATGTGCTCATCATGTGTAGAAAGCTTCTATTATTTGCCAACTCAGCTAAATCGAATGGTTGAGATTTATTCTTCATCAATTAGTCTTGTGATGTGTGATGCTGACACGTGTAGAAATTTAGCTACACATTTAGAGACATAAGGGTGAGGACATTACATAGTAATGTCCGAAGTCTCTAACTCGAACCCAGGCTTCCACACTTCGACCTCTTCGCCCTTTTCTTCTTCCTCGTCCTTCTTTTGTAAATTGATGGGCTTTTATCTTCAACATTCCCCCTCAAGTTGGAGGGGAGAGAATGGGTAAAAATTGTGTGGGGTAGCCACTTTCTAAAGTGATATTTACTTTTTATCCAGTATTTTTAATGCTTAGTAATAGTAGCCACTAGTCTATTAATATTAATATAAAAAGACCGTGTTACCCTTTCTTCTATCTCTTTTATGTGTTAGGGAGAAACCTAGCGAGCACACGGTCATGACAGACATTCCACATGAAGCTCTCATGGTGAATTCTCTAGACTGGTTGCAAGTATTAAAAATGAAGGCTCAAAACCTGAGATTAGAAGTGGCCAACTTTTAGTAGGAAGACGACTCTGGTTTTGGATGGTGTCAAGGCTTCGATCGACAAAGGTTTCGAAACTGTGGAGATTGTAAATTGATTGTTGCTGGTCACACAAATTGGATACTTGTATAAATTGGTGCTACGCTTTAAACTGCAGTCTAGCTGCTTTGGTTTGCATGCGTGATCGTATGCAATTATGGTGGTAGATGTATTTCGGTTTGTGATTTCTATGATGTATTTTTGGTTTTCTGCTACATTATGGATCCTGAATTTACAGTTACAAGCTCAAAAGTTAAGGACAATAGGTCCTGAACTTAGGCTAAGAAGCCCAAAAGTTAAGGACAATAGGTCCTGAACTTAGACTAACAAGCTCAAAAGTTAAGGACAATAAGTCCTGAACTTAGACTAACAAGCTCAAAAGTTAAGGACAATAAGTCCTGAACTTAGACTAACAAGCTCAAAAGTTAAGACACTTGGTCCCGAACTTACAGTTGCAAGTTCAAAAGTTAAAGACACTTGATAAGGACAATAGGTCCTGAACTTAGACTTACAAGTTCAAAAGTTAAGAACAAGTAGTCCTTAACTTAGAGTTACAAGCACAGAGATTAAGGACAGGTGGTCCTGAACTTCGAGTTCCAAGTTCAAAAGTTAAGGGCGTGTAGTCCTGAAGTCCTGAACTTAGAGTTACAAATTCAAAAGTTAAGGACATGTAGTCCTGAAGTCCTGAACTTAAGTTCAAAAGTTAAGGACACGTAGTCCTGAAGTCCTGAACTTAGAGTTCCAAGTTCTAAAGTTAAGGACATGTAGTCCTGAAGTCCTGAACTTAAGTTCAAAAGTTAAGGACACGTAGTCCTGAAGTCCTGAACTTAGAGTTCCAAGTTCTAAAGTTAAGGACATGTAGTCCTGAAGTCCTGAAGTTAAGTTCAAAAGTTAACGGCATGAGCAGAAGGGTATTTTCGTTTGGGCAGGTAAAGTTTATTAAAGCAGTGGCTAAAGACTAAAAATATTTTAAACAGTGACTTAAAAGTAAATACATATGTTATTGGTGGCTAACCGTGCACTTCACCCCCTCCTGCCAAACGATCCTAGTATAAACACTTGATCAATTTTCGTTACTAATTTCGGAGTATGATTGTGCGCTGTGTAGTTTCTACTACTTACGAATTGGATATGGGATATTTGCAAACCCAAAGTGCCTTCCATGACATAAAAGCAAAATGACCATGTTGTTCATCCTTGTCAATATATACATTTTCTTTTTGGGGGTTAAGAACATAAACAATTAGTTATCACAAAATACTAAGATCAAAGTGAAGATCACAATAAACTTCCGATCGATGGACGTGATTTGTTAGTTGTCTTATATAGGATCTTATCGAGGCCAACCATGTGATTCCCCTCAGATTAGAAGGTGAGAAATTGCTTGTTCAAGTATATATTCAATTAACTTCATGTAGTAAACAAGCTCACAAATTGCTTGTACAAATATCCACTCAACTTTTTTTATAACAAGCTGAGACATACGTTAAGAAAGTAAGTTTTGGATCAAATTTTTACGATTTTCCACAAACGATCTCACATGTCTAAGTGTTTGTATCCCTACACCTTATTATTTAACTTATTTTTTTTACTTTTTAGCTAGTAATTTGATAATTTTATTCGCAAACCTATCAATAGGAAGAAAAAAAAGGATAGGAATAACGTATAAAAAAACATTAATCTATGATATCTTCAATTCCTGGTTTCCATGTGCGTCATGCCGAGTAGTTATGATGACAATCAAGCTAAATACCACAGAAAAGATGCGAAACAACTTGTAGAGACAAACCTTAATTAAGTTCATGTCATATGACACTTGTAAAAAGTCTCTCCGGAAAAAGAAAAAAAACAAGGATAGATTTCGACACCCTAATTAATCCATATTGACTTTGGAACTTTCTACTCTACTGGACAAGACTCTTTACCTCTGTGGCATGTAAATTCATTTTAACAAAAAACGTAAGGGGCAAATATATAAAAACAAATTATCCTGGAAAAGACGTGACTTCATTTGCTCTTGCATATGAAGTGCATCAACTAACTTCCTTACTCAGCGAAAACTGAAACACTGGTCGTGAGAGACAGAGAGTGTGTGTGTGTGAGAGAGAGAGAGAGAGCTGCTCTTCCTCAGGTCACCTTTGTCCTATGATAAAGAAGCTCTATTTGAAAATCCATGGCTTCTCTCTTTCCCTCAGCACGATTTTCAAATAGAGCTTCCTTATGTTCTCCTCTTCCTCAGGTCACCTTGGTCCTATGATTATGTACATTTTCAGGTCCAAGTTTCAGTTGGGTTGTTAGTTTCAAAAGAATTTGCACATCCTGCTTTTGAACTCTTCTCTGCCTTGGCTGCAGTGGGACGTACCCTTTTTCGGGCTTTTGCTATTATTTGGCTTTTTCTCCAAATCCAACGCTCTGATCAGTAAAAAGGAACTATAAACTTGACAAAATGACCTCTGTTGCATTCTGAATATCAGTTGTTATGGTTCACTTGGGAAGAAATTAATCATCACACTTCTCTCATCTCTTCTCGTAGTTTTCTTTCATGGCTTTCAAACTCTCACCAAAAATAACTTTCTGCAGAGTTCATATGCTACGTATCTCTCCGAGTAGTCATTTAAATAAGAAACAAAAAATATATAGACATATGGAAATTTTTTGAGTCGTCGACACTTGTATATGAAACAAATGTTGAGAAGCGAACTGTATTATTACAAATGATATTTACATTCTTTTCTAATGTATCAAAATTATATATGTGTAGTACCACAAATGTATGACAGTGATTCCAAAAATCATCAAAAAATGAAAAACTTGAGCCGGAATTAAATATAGACATTGGTGCTAATATGGATGTTAAGAGAGAACATTGAAAGCCTGAGCAGTGCGAGCAACCTTGATAAACACGTCCTCTAAAGTTGTATCAGCCAAACCCCAAGCATAAACCGTGAATTTACTCTTTGCTTTCTCCACTGCTTGAAATACATCTGCAATTCTAACCTCTTGCTTTGGCAACTCAAACTTCTGTGTCCCAGATATATGGTATATCCTGTTGGCATTTGGGGATAGACGTCGCACCATGTGCTCCACTTCTTCCTCATTATCTGATGATGTTGTCATTGTAAACACATAAGACCCCCCATATCTTGCCTTCAACTGTTATCCAACAGGAGAAGAAATAGTCAGACCAGTTTGAGAATAAAAAAGAAGCAGATGGGAGGTCAAAAGAGAAATATACTTACTCAGCCTTGGCAATCATTACTTTTTACAGCTTATTAGACTACTAATAGCCTGTTTGGCCAAGCTTCTTTTGAGCCAAAAGTGTTTTTTTGACTGAAAGTGCTTTCTTCCCAAAGTTAAGTTGTTTGACCAAGCTTTTAAAAATAAAATAAGTGTTTTTAAATAGAAGCAAAAGCAGTTTTTGAGAAGCAGAAAAGAGTAGCTTCCTCCTAAAAGCACTTTTTTGAAAAACACTTTTGAGAAAATACACTTAGAAGCACTTTTTAAAAGTTTGGTCAAATTACTGCTCAAAAGTGCTTTTCAATTTAATTAACCAAACACAAATTGTTTCTCACCAAAAATACTTTTTAAAATAGCACTTCTTAAAATAAGCATATTTTAGAAGCTTGGGCAAACATGCTATAAGTCTCCATTTCCCTTCTTTCTTACTTAGGCACACATTATTACGCGTATCAGTAGAATATCTGACACCATAATCTCACAACAGCTAGAGAAGGCACGGTAACAATCCAGTGCACCAAAAACGGAAATATACAGGATTTTGAAAATATCGAAAAGTTTGAAAATACCTCTTTGGGATTTCCTATGCACTGCAAGCTGCCATCAACGAATATTCCTAGTCGATCACATAGATGCTCTGCTTCTTCCATGGAATGGGCTGAAATGGTTATCCTTATGAGTAGTCATACTAATAATTTCATTAACCAGTGGTAAGAAAGGAACAAGGAATTCAAGTGTGCAAAGTCCAACAGATGCTGGACTGGGATGTGAAAGTCACATACGAATTAATGTGGAATGGCGAGAAACTGTTGTACAATGCATGATCCCATTATAAGTACTTTTAAGATCACTTTATAATGTTGTTTCAAGAACATGAGAAATTGGAGAAAACTCTAATTACAACTGGTTGGTACTGTCCTAACTGCACAAAGTTTATTCAGGTCAAAGTGGGAAACAAAGAAACAAGAGAAGTAATGTTAAATTACTTGTGAGAATAATTGCTCTATCTTGCTTTGCACGCTTGACAACATTCCATAAGTTATGTCGCGAAGCTGGATCCAGTCCAGTACTGGGCTCATCCATGTAGACAACCTGGAATATTTCATAAACCACAAGAATATGAGTACACATAACTCCGAATGTCTTCCCATGAGGATGAATGGTAGAATTAACATACCTTAGGATCTCCGATCAGTGAAATTGCAACACTTAGCCTCCTCTTCATACCTCCACTGTATTTCCCAGCTTGCTTGTCAGCAACACCCCCATGAAATAAGTTGACATTCTTAAGAGATTCTTCAACTGCCTGTAGGCAGAAAAGTATAAGTAAGCCCAAAAAAAGAAGTTACTGCTTTGGATGAGGAGTCAAGTTTATCAAGATTTTGTCTTTCAGGTTGTCTATACAATGCATTGCCCATATTTCCCAACCCCAAAACTTGAAGATTAGATGTACTTTAAGAACCTTGGGGGGAGGGGGTAATCAGTTATACTAATAGTCTGTAACTTAGCTGAATCAACGTTTCTGCTCTAACAGCATTTGGACGATAAGCTAATTTTACAAGCACTTCTCATAAGCCCAAGTAGAAGTTAAGACGTGAGCCATTAACTTACTTGTGTCAGGACTGCTCCTTTAAGATTTTTAAGCCTTCCATAGAAAAGTAGGTGCTCCCTTCCTGTTAACTTTTCCCAAAGTAAGCTGAAACAAATTTCCAAATGAAAAAACAATCAGTATTAGGACACTGAAATTTGCAGGAAGGGGGAGGGATCAAGTGTCGACTTAACTTAAGAAAAAGTAGATTCTTACTCATGCTGCGGACATACACCCATGTTGGTGTATATCATATCCATGTCTTTTCGTATATCCATACCCTGAGCATATGCAGTACCGGAGCTTGGTTTTACGAGCCCAATCATCTGTTAGCAGAAAATTGTCACACAAGGGTTTAGAGTTTTCAGTTTTAGCAATCTAAATAAAGAAACAGAAAATCAGTATACAGCACATCTGTCTACAAAATGAAGGGCACTAAGAACCTGCTTTTAAAGTTATGTACACATTAAGGTCACATCCTTGAGTGACTAAAACTTAAAAGAATTACAA